TTGAAAGATACACTTCTGTTTGAATGATGTCATCATTGTCAGGGTATTTTCACATCATTCTCTCATTGACCTTGTAAAGGGAGGCATTAATTATCCCTGTGTGACAGGGGAGGTTTAGAAAGAATCCAGGTTTCTTCTAAGGTCATAGGCGATTAAGAGGCTTGGCCAGGACTAGAAGCTCAGATCTTGGGATCCTAGTCGGGTGCTTCTTCCAGTAACCCCGCATTTTCCACATTCCTGTCAGCATCCCAGAAGATGAGAAATGCCTTCAAATCCTGGACCTGGCTTTAGAAAGCTAAAGGTTGACACTGGATGTATAAAAAATCCTATCCTGTAGAATGGAGAATTGGGAGGGGGGGGGACGGGGGAGGTGCTCATTTGAGCACTTAGCTAAACTTTAGGTTTGTTTTAACTCTAGCCCAGGACAAGATGCAGTTGCTTGAATTACCAGTGCCCTGGGGACTAAAGTAAACCTGGAGGCCCACCTCTTTAGTGCAGATTGGAATCCCTGAGGAAGAAATTACCCAAGTCTTCAGTGAGTATTGCTGCAGGGTTCCATGTGGAAAAGCCAAATATGTGATTTGTTTTCTGCCTGTAGTTAGGGAAGAGGGGTTGAGGGTGAGGAGAAGAAAAAACAGTTATTTACCCAAAATCCATTTTGACCACTGTTACTGTCTCTACAGGATTTTTATTTATTTATTTTTTTTTGAGATTTGTGGGAGAAGTTGAGAGTTTTAGGGTCTTGAAGAAGCCAGAAGTTCAGGAACCTCATTTTGCAAATCAAAGTAGGATTTGAGGATAATTTCTGTTCTCTTCATCTCCTCATCAGGGCGTAAACTCCTCAGTTTAGGGATCCTCGAGGTGTTTACCTGTGTACCTTTCTCCCACAATGCCTTGCAAATCAGTGCTCCCGTCAATCTAGCATGGACTTCGTATTACAGGGCCAGTGTTATACCCGAAAACCTCCCGCTAAACATCTTGTGATGGCCCAGAAGTCTCCTGAGGAGATTCTTCGAGCGATGAACTCACACCTCCCCTTGCCGTGGCCGGCCGGGCCGCCGCCGCCGCCGCCGCCGCGTGGTTGGCGCCCGCGCAGTGGGGACGCCGCGCGCACCTAGGTGCGCGGCCCTGGTGGCCGCGTTGCCTCCGCGGACGCTGAGGAGTGGATGAGTCGCCCCGGCCGGGGACCTGCGGGGCTCCTCACCCGCCCGCGCCGCCTCCTTTTCATGTGATAGTAATCGGAGACTTTTCCGTTACATGAGGCTCTCAACAAAAGATTGTAATTCCAGCAGCTTTGTTTGGGAAGGTACCACCGCGGCGGGCGTGTCCTGGGCCCGGCCCGGGGGTCTGCGGCCTCGGCACTGCGGAGGCGGCTCGGGCCGCCGGGGCCGCCTGTGAGTGTGGGGCTGCCGCCCGGCCGGCGTCCCCCGCGCCCCTCCTCGTGGTACAGCCTGCGTTTCCCCTACAATGCTGTTATGCTAATCAGGTGACATCACCGCCCAGCGCACGGAGAGTGGCTCCTGATTAAATTACAGACCGGCGGCCGCCGCGGGCAGCCGGGAGGAGGTGTGTGTACTGCTCCCGTGAGCTCCTGGGTTTGGCGATCGGGGCATGCTTAGGATTGGCCATATTTAAAAAAAATTTTTAAAGTGGGACTTGCACCTCCTTTCTTTCCTCCCTCCGTCCTCCCGCCCCTCCTCGGTAATTTATTTCACGCTTCTAGTCGAGAGCCACAAAAGGAAGGAAAACAACAAGGAATTAGATGCGTGAGTGGTAACTCCTGGCCGGGCTACGGTGGACCCTACTGCAGCCCGCTTCCTATCAGATCAGCTTGCTGGACTTTCAGACCGGAATGGGGCTTGCCTGAGGTCCAGCCCTTTTTACAGGGACCGGGAGCCAAGCCGTGCGGAAGCTGCTGTGTGTTGGATGGGGGTAGGAGGGGGCCGGAGCGGGATTTCCACCGTGCAGCCCGCCGGGGCGTTACGCCGGGCATAATGGAATTGCAGAGGACGTCTAGCATCTCAGGGCCGCTGTCGCCAGCTTACACGGGGCAGGTGCCTTACAACTACAACCAGCTGGAAGGGAGATTCAAGCAGCTACAAGGTAAGCCGCCCTCCCGAAGGCCGGGCCTGTCGTGGGGCTGCGCCTACGGGGGTTCCGAGGTTTTATTTGTGCCATATGGTACGTGACTCTAATGAAGACGGGCCGCCGCACGGCCCAGCCCCAAAGCCTCTGGTTGGCTGCGAGCACCCCATTCACTGCTTAAAAGAGACACTTTTCCCACTCTCTACTCTAGAAAAGCCTCCATTTGGAGCCCCATTCTCTCTCTCCCCCTCTCTCCCTCTCCTCCTCTCTCCCTCTCTCCTCCCTCCCCCCCTTACCCCAGTATCCTTTTGACTTTCTTGGTTGTCAGGTATCTGCTGCTCACTGCACACACCTTTTCTGTCCTTTTAGCCATCTTTGCAGCTCAGTAGATCAATGCTAATAGACCTGTTAGTATGCAAGCATTAGATTCCGGGTTGCTCGTCTCCCAGCCCCCCAGCTTCTTACCTCTGGGAATCCTAAAGGTGTAAAAGTGCACTGCTTGACACCCAGTCCTGTAGAACAATAGCAAAGGGGAGGAGGGAGTGGTCTTTTTGTTCCTAAGCCTTGGGTAAATTACAGTTTTGATTCTGAAGCTTAATTTTAACTCTTTTGATGTATTGTGTTGGGGAGAGCCTTTCCCATCAATTTAGTAGGCTGTGTAATTTATAATGAAAGCCAGTTATTGTCATTCCAATGCTATGGGTTGGATTAGTTGGATCAATTGTAGGTTTCTTGGCGTCTATGTTAGTCTGAAATAATTGAATGAATCCAGTATTTTACCGCACATATTTTTATGGAGAGTGGGGTCCTGTGTGCAGCAGTGTGTGGGATGATGGGCCTGCAGCCCACTGCTCGGGTGGCCCCTGCATCCCTTGGCTGTCCCTGCCCAAGCAGCAGGCCTGGCTGGCGGTTTCTCAGAGCTCGTACATGAAAAAGAACTAATAACTGAAAACAGAACTCCTTCCGTTTGGAAGCCCCTGGAATCAGTAGTAGGCCAGGAATGATTCTAATGCTGTGAAAAAGTGGCCTTCGCACACTGTATGTTTCTTATTTTAACTCTTCTTGGTGCCACAAATGTGGTTCCTGTGAGGAGGAGGAAGGAAGGAAGCAGCTCAATCCTAGAATGTTTTCATTGGGAAGGGGAGGGAGGATATATTTCATTCACAGGTTTATTTGTCTTGTGAAATAGTTGACAGTAATGACACTTTTCTGGAAAACAAGAGGCAGAACAGGACGTGGTTTTAAACATTTGCTAGTCTGTGCTGCATTCCTGGGTCGGTTAGCTAAGAGGAAGCTTCACTCCCCCCAGGGAGTGGTTATGTGTCTTTGCGGCATGCCCCTTAAGCTCTTCGAAGGTGGACTTTGCTTTTTGGGAAAACTTGGGTTGGAGGCACAGGAGGTAGGGGACATTAGCAAATGGTGGTGTGTCTCTTATCTTCTGGGTCTGTGCTGGAAGCTCCATAGCTCTGGGTTTTAAGAATTCAGCATGCACCTCCTCTAAGCATGATGAAGTCTCCCTGCTTCATTGTGTCACACCGCTAAGGAGAAAGCACTCGATGGCAGATCCTTGATCAGAAAATCTATTACCAACATCCAGTCAGCCCACTCGTGTAGTCTCAGGAAAGAAATGCAAACCCAAGGAGATGTAAGGTGTGGGGAGCAGTGTTCTCAAAGGCCCACCCATAACAAAAAGCTGTTATCTGAAAGTTTTGAGGATGGTTGTAAAACTGCTCACTGAGAAGGGTGGAGCTTACACACAGGAAATGTCTTAAACTGTCCTCCCTGGATAGAGTAAAATTGAAATTAAAAAACCAAAATCACCACACACTCATTACTGTTTCTCAAGGAAATCCCTTCAAAAGGTGTGGGCTTTGCATTTTGTTTGCTGGCTTTTTTTTTTTTTTTTTTTTTTTAATGAGTTTTGCTCCCTAATGTAGTTCTAGATAACTTTCTTATTTCTGAATATTGTGGTTTAGGAGTTACACAAGTTTAGTGTTAGTATTTCTGTAACAGAAAACTACCCATGTTGAGAAACTGAGAAAGGGTGAATTAACTTCCAAGTATGGTGGATCCCAGGAGAATTACAAACATTGCATCCTCCTTAGTAACGACGAATGGAACTGATTGCATTTTAAGCAACTTTAGAAGAATTTTTGCTAAAACTTGTTCCATTTCCTACCCCCAGTTTGTATTTGTAGTTCTTTTAATCATCACATCTTTGATAATATGTAGATTATATCATCTGATTTAATTTTATGCATGCCTCCAAAGCTGCCCCTCTCCCCCTCCCTCATTTTTTATTCTTCTGAATATTATCCTTCCTGGCACTTATGACCCAATATTGGTACACTGGTCCTCTGAATTGATTTTTTTTAATGTCTCTTACATGAATTTATTCATTTAGCGTCTACGCCTGAGACATTTATTTCTGAGGGTACTGTGATTTCATGGGAGATGTTTTTGCTGGCTTCGTATATTTTTACACTTGATCCTAAAAATTCCAGGAGGAACCAGGGGATGAGATTTGATGTTGTAGCTAAAGGAATATAATATTAAAATGTGTTTAGTCTACTTAGATAGTAAGCAAGTAAGTGTGACTTATTTACACTCTGATTTAGGGGACTGAGATGTAGAGTGATGTTTATCACCCTGGTGTTCCAGGCCTAGGTAAGACAAGAGACAGGACCTTCAGCCTCTGATGGCTTCAGATGTTAACCACTAACACCCAGCACACCTAACAGACATACCCAAAGTGCATTCTCTCTCTTTTTCAAATTGTTCATCTGTAGAATTAAGTTACCACTGTCCTTAGAGCCTGTTCATGTGTCTTTAAAGGTGGATTCGTTATTCTTTTTTTTTTTTTTTTCCAAATAAGAAAGAAATGCTAAGACACAGAAACTCAACCTGACATGTTTAAAAAATGTGTTTGTAGTAACAGGTTCATAATGTCTTTTCTTCAATTTCAAATCAACCAGCTGAATTCCCTATAGGAATTGCTACTCTTCTACTCAGGAACTGTTGCTTGTGCCTAAGGTGTAAATTAAATGCCAGACTCCTTAACTTGGCATTGGACCCTCCCCCAAATGGCCCGAACTCTGAATACTTCATATTTTGCCTCTTACATTCCAGTCAGATCTTCCAGGTAGGCAGACTTGCAGCTTCTCATAAAACCAAACCCTGGGTTTTGCCTTCATCGTCTACCTTCTGCTTTAAATGCCCTACTCTTCCATTTTACCTGCAGAAATTGTTCCTATGATTTTTTTAAAACTCTGTTCACATTCGTTATTCCATAAAGCTTCTTGTCTCCTCTGTTGTGGTTGGTAGGAAAAAGATTTCATTGAGTGCTTACTGTGTCCCAAACATGTTAGTAGGAGCTTTACATATGGTATCTTGTCTTTGTAACACACCTAAGGAGATTTAAAAATGAGAAGACAATCAAATAGCTTGACCGGGGTCACAGGCATTACTGAGCTCAGGCTGTACATTGTTGTTTTCTAATTTTCTTTTCCTAGACTTTTAGATACTAATAATATTTTATTTCTGCAATAATAATAATAATAATAATAATAATGTGATTACATTGTGAAATGGGCACCCTAACCGGTTTGTCCTCGCCTGCCTGCCTGCCTTCCAGAGCACTGATTCTTTTGGCCCTGGCAGTGGGGTTGTAATGAAGACAGGATCTAGTTGAAAAGCATCAAGATGAATTTCTTCTGCCTTCTTTGTAGCCTAACCCTGGCATTTAGCACCTGGTACTTTGGGAGAAGGTGCTTTTTCTTAGCTGTTCTGGCTCAATGAACGTGTCCCACTGTCTAGGAGTTATGGAGTAGTCTGTCTTCGGTGGGACACAGGGAAACTGCAGAGCAATATATTACTTGCTATCTCAGAGTTGCCTTATTGCATTTCTTCATATTTTTTTGGTCCTGGTTTCTTCTCTTAGTGAAAGAATATTGTTGGTCTTAAGTTTTTAAGAACTTGCCAGTTTGTTTGGGTACTTAAGATGTTTGTCTTACATAATGTTTAAGCCGTAGAGAAAGAAGATTGCTGGACTTATACCTTCCTCATCATGTAGAAAAGTTAAAGTTGTTAGGTATACAGCGTTAGCCTTCATATATTTCCTGTTGTGACAGTGGAAAGAGTTGGTGACAAATGAGAACTGTTTTTTGGGGGTGGGGACCAGGATTTATAAGAGCATTTTGGGGTTTAATGAAAGTATACAAGATTGGTGTTTTGGTCTAGATACCTGCCAATATTATACTATAGCTTTTCTCAGTCCAGATAACTTTGTGGGACAATTAACCAATTAAAAAAATAATCCTCTTAACAGTTTACCAGACTTTCAGCTTAAAATTTGGAAGTTCTTTTTTTAAAATGTTTTTTCCTAATGTTTATTTATTTTTAAGAGAGAAAGACACAGCACGAGCAAAAGGACAGAGAGAGAGGGAGACACAGAATCCAAAGCAGGCTCCAAGTTCTGAGCTGTCAGCACGGAGTCCGATGCCTGGCTTGAACTCTTGAACTGCGAGATCATGACCTGAGCCAAAGTCGGATACTTAACCAGCTGAGCCACCCAGGGCCCCTTAAAATTTGGAAGTTCTTAACAGATTTGCGAATTAGAATCCTTTTTGAATGATGTAGTAATAATAACTACTATTAATGTGTACAGCACTTAACTTTAATATCTGTCATCTTGCATAATTAACTAAATGAGACTATTCAAAGTACCCAGCATGGGATGTAGTACTTAGTATGTTCTACGTGAGTGTGCATGTATTTAATAATATTTCTCCGGGGTAAATATTTTTTATAGGTAAATAAGCATATCATTTGGTATGAGACTACCTTTCCAGAATCCAGGTTTTCAGATTCCAAATTTTATTTCTTCTAGAACAAAGTGGGTTAGGTATGAGCCATAGCAGCCATCCCCCAGATATCGTGAATGCATTGTGGTGGCATGGAAAATTGATGAGTTCAGGACTGCTCAGATTCTGGACATGTGGTGCTCTCTGTTTTGGTGGACAAGGAACTTTCATGGTCAAAGGAATGCCAATTCCTTTAGCTTAAATCTGTAGTTTGACTGGGATGTCCATTTAAAGACTGTTGGAGGCCAGCCAGCAAGAAGAGGGAGGTGACTGATAACTCCCTTTGAGGGAGAGAGACCAGTTTTCTTAGGGTAGGGAAATAGGACTAAATGATCTGACTGCTGAGGAAGCTTTCTGATGACTCTGTTCCTGTCACCTCTTCACATGCCTAGGGCCCAGAAAGGGATCTCTTCACTACCCCCACTGCCTCTACCTGTGTTTTAGTCTCTTTCTTTGATTTCCTGAAGCCTCCCTACCGTTGGACCCTGATTTAGACTTCTGTGCAAAAAGGTTTGGGACTTGACTCCCTTGTGACTTGGCTCCATTCGACCTTCCCATTTCCAGCTTCTGCTACTCCTTCTTCAGCAGTACTCAGGATTCCCTCAACCTACCCTGTGTTTTCCCTGCCCTTGACACCCTGATCTCCAGCTGCTTATACCTGGAACTCTTTCTCAAGTCAGGATTATTACTTTCGAGTTCCAGTTCAGATGCCGCTTAATTCTTAGTATTCCCAGAGTGGGGAGAGGAGGTCAGAATCTTTATTTGGATTCCCTTCCTATAAGATTTAAAGTTTAAGCACTTGCTTATTTTGTGATTTTCACACACTGCTTTTGGTTACAGTTTATTTACCTTTTTTCCCCCCTACTTTCCCAAAGCGTAGGGGCATAAAGATAAAAGTCTTACATGTAACAGTTACCAAGTCTGTTAAAGAGTAATAAAGAGTAAATAACTGAAATTATTATTATGGGCTACTTTATTGCAGTGGTTCTTAAAAGGAGGCCCCCAGACCGTCAGCATCAGTGTGATCTGGGAACTTACAAGAAATATAAATTCTCAGGCCCTACTTCTGAAACTTTGGGGTGGGGCCCAGCAGTAGGTGTTTTTTATAGCTGCCAGGTGGCTCTAATGCACACTCAAGTTTGAGAAATACTCCCTTATTGGATCATTCATGCAGTCTTTGTAATTTGGTGAAGAGGAGGCGCCAACTGCATGAATTGCTCCTTCATAGGAGCAGATAATATATCTGATCTATTGAAGAATGAAGAGTTGTGAAAAAGTATATTTAGAACAAAATTATTTAATTGTGGAAAAGGCATTTAGTCAGGAATGGCCTCTCTTCCACTAAACTAGAGAAGCCATTTAACCCCTCCAGGCTTCAGCTACCTCATCTGCCAGATGGGTCAGTTACTGTCCTAGTTGCCCACCAAGTTGGTGTGAAGACCAATCCAGAAAGATCTAAGTTTAGAAAAACTAGAGATAAAGATAATAGTATCTGCAGGTTGTGAGTACAGTTGTGTAAGTCATCTCGTTTAGTTCCATTTAGGTTCTTAGAAAATAATCTACTGCATTTAACTGTAAAACCAGAAATCCCAGCAACTTGGTAACTGGAAGGGAGGCAGGCAGCACCTGGCCAGGGCCCTGTCCTGGATCTCTGAAGATCTGGGCTGCTTTCCTTATCTGAATACATCTCAAGTTTACCTTCCAGGGTTGTGTTGAAAACTAGCTGCCATAATCTATATGAAGCTTCCTTGAAAACATCCATGTACTATATGTTTCCATCATCATCTTTTCTTTTAAAGAAAACTTCTACATATGAATGAATTCTAATAAGTCCACCATTGCATAGCAGTTTAAATAGGGATTTCATGGGCACCTGGGTGGCTCAGTTGGTTGAGCGTCCGACTTCAGCTCAGTTCATGATCTTGTGGTCTGTGAGTTTGAACCTCACGTTGGGCTCTGTGCTAACAGCTCAGAGCCGGAGCCTCCTTTGGATTCTGTATCTGTGTCTGCCCCTCCGCTACTCATGCACTTTCTCTCTCTCTCTCTCTCAATCTCTCTCTCTCTCTTTCTCTCTTTCTCTCTCAAAAATAAATAAACATTAAAAGATTTTTAAATACGGATTTTAGGGTTTGTTTTCCTGTCTTCTGGAAGGTGACATGAATAGTGACAGAACTTCAAGTTTTCAGTTAACGATAGTTTCACAGGCATACATCTGTTAAAAGTAGAATTACATTTGTGCACATTATCAAAGTAATGTGCCATTTTCAGAAAACCAGCCCTTTTCAGATCTCTGTGCCCTTTCTCCCTCTTGTCTGACAAGCTTCTATCAATTCTTAGGCCCCCAGCTATGAAAAACTAATGACAGGTGAGATAAATAATAAAAGCATTGTAAGCATTTTTCTGACTTCTGTGTTCTTTGCTGGATTGGCTTAATTAAAACTTTGGCAGTTAAACCAGTTTATGGGTACAAAGGACTTAGCATGTAAAAGCTCAGTAGTTGGTCACTAATCTAGGCAGTTTAGAGTAAGAAGAATCCTAAGAAATAAAATAATGAAACTGATTTTTAAATATCCTATTTTTAACATTCTATTAGTTTATTAACAAAAATTTGTTGATGGCCACCTTTTCAATGAGAACTGTCCCCTGGTTGGGAACTGTGTGAGAAAGTGTATTTCAGCAATTCTGGAAATGCTGGTTGAGCTTACTGAGGAGTGGAAGGAAGTGGAGAATAAAGTTGTTCCAGGTTAGAGATCCAGACTAGGGACACAGGACCAGGTTAGGGAAAGTGGAGCAGATAGCAGATTCAGGGTGGCCAGAGTTTGTAGAGTGAAGATGAGGAAGGGTGGGTAGGAGGGGTTCTAGAAGGATAATTGAAAAGCCAGAGGATGTGTGGTCCTATAAATCAAGTTAAGGAGTTTGGAGGTAAGTTGAGCAGTGGAAAGCCACGGAAGGATTTTAGACAGGATAGTGACTCGTGACTTTTTTTTTCCTCCCAAGAAAGGTGGGTCTGACTGCTTAGTGTGTTGATTGCTTTAGAGGGTAGTGGTCAGAAAAAGAGGCTGGAAACCAGTTGGGAGACTGTTGGATTTGTGGGGTGAGAAACAGCATAGCCTGTTCTCAGATTTTAAACTGCAAGGTGCTTAGAACCTGGTTACTTAGTGTGTTCTGCAGATAACCTAGGGGTTTGTTAGAAATGCAGAATCTTCAAGCCCGCCCCAGATCAACTGAGGCAGAACTTGGTTGTAACAAGATCCCCAGGTAGTTTGTAGGCTCCTTCAAGTTTAAGAAGTGCTGCCTTGGGGGGCACCTGGCTGGCTCAGGTCATGATCTCACAGCTCAGATTGTGGGTTCAAGCCTCTAGTCGGGCTGTGTGCTGACAGCTCTGAGCCTGGAGCCTGCTTAGGATTCTGAGTCTCCGTCTCTCTCTCTGTCCCTGCCCTGCTCATGCTCTGTCTCTCCCTCAAAAATCAATAAACATTAAAAAAAAAAAAAAAAAAAAAAGTGCTGCCTTGACAATAATCTCTGCTTGCCTCTTTACCCCCATGAGCATAGAGTGAAAAAGTTCCAGATAGGTTCTGACCTTCCTGAGGTTTAAAGTCTGTGTTTTATATTAGTCTACATTAAAAGTTTTGTCGGCTTTTTTCTTTCAGGTAATCTAGAGCATTTTAAAGTAACTATAAAGATAATCTTGTATCTAAATGTATAATAGTTAATTAAAGAAAATTTAGTATTACCCTAGGAGATTACAGAACTTTAAAAGCATGGTTGGTTAATTCCTAGCTTTTTAAATCTTTGTAGAATTTGGCTTGGATTTTTGTACTTGCTAATCTGCTTTTCTCGCAATTGGTGAGGTTAAAAAAGCACAGTTTCTCTTCATTTACCCATTTGATAGATATGTTAAAGCTTATTTTTTTATTTTGAGAGAGATAGAGACTGTGAGTGGTAGAGGGGCAGAGAGAGAGAGAAAGAGAGAGGAGAGGGAATTCCACGCAGGCTCCCTGCTGCTAGTGCAGAGCCTGACTCAGAGCAGGAACTCACAGGAACCTGTGAGATCATGACCTAAGCCAAAACCAAGAAGATGCTTAACCAGCTGAGCCACCCAGGCATCCCTACCCATTTGGCATTAATGGAGAATTAAAACAATTTTCTGGGCCAGTTTAAGTTCTTTCAGAATTTTAGCGTGGTATCCTGGGAAGTAGAGGCTTGCTAAATTCATACCTGCTTTATGACTTCAACTGTTTACATACTTTTAAACTTTTTTTAAAAGCAAAAATATCCCCTTCCCCTATGCTCCATTTTAGTAAAATCAACCTATATTAAATCAATGATGTTCATCTTGTACTTACTTAGACTTTAGTCCACTTCACGTATATCAAACTTCCCTAGCAGTGCCTTCAGGTGTGGCTGTTAAAAGTGGATTTAAAATATATTAAGTATCTGTTACTTGATAAGTGCTCATTTCCTGTGAGTCTGCAGGCTTTAAAATTAGTGGGTATTGATTACTTGGAGGAGGAAAAACACCTGCTGAAAACTTGATGGCTAGAAGTTTCTGCCCCTTAAAGAAAGAAAGATAAGGGATGGGGGAGATAAGCTATTTCTGTTCTCAACTAGCACCAGTCTAGAGCCTTCCTGATGAAAAGGGCACAGGTAATGAAAGCAGTGTGAGTCAGGAGGCCACTAAGGTGATGTTCTTACCACAGCTAGGTCACTAATGGGCCAAAAAAAAGTTTAATTTGTAACCATTCTCTATATTACTCCAAAATTCATTTTATAATTTTTTTTCAATGTGTTATTTATTTCTGAGAGAGAGAGACAGTGTGAGCAGGGAAGGGTCAGAGAGAGAGGGAGACACAGAATCTGAAACAGGCTCCAGGCTCTGAGCTAGCTGTCAGCAGAGAGCTCGACGCAGGGCTCGAACCCACAAACTGTGAGATCGTGACCTGAGCTGAAGTGGGACGCTTAACCAATTGAGCCACACTGGCACCCCCAAAATTCATTTTATACAGTAATTATTTCATAGCCAAGTTATGACACATTCAAAAAGAAAAAATAGTTTAAGATCCAGCAATCCCAGTAGAGTTTAACTTTTCACTAGTTCTTATCTACATGTATGTACAGTTTAAGATTATTATAATCATTACATAGATTCAGTTTTTTGGTGTCTTGTTTCTGTTGTTCACTTAACATTATATCATAAACTTACATGTGGGTATTCCTGTGCCTATTGCCAAATTGCTTTCTAGAACAGGGCAGTCTTTTAACTAATCTGAACCTGTTCACTCATCTCTGGGATGAAGCTAATACAGATTTTATGAAATAAGATTATTGTAGGAATAAGTAAGGTTCTCCATGGAAATGGTCACAGTACCTGGTACATGGTGAACTCAGTAATCACTAGCAGCCATTATTATTACAGGTCCTGGTTAAATGGCAAAGTGGGGCCCAACAGGGGCCAGTCTGCTGAACTTATCTTACCCCACCCCCAGCCAAAACCTGTTCTGGGTGTGGTTTCCTTCAGCATGTCAGAAGAGTGGTTTGCCTGAAAATGCACCCAACTGAAACACCCCCTTTTATGTTCCCCTTTAGAACAAACAAAAGGTTGACTGCAGTCACTTGAGTCTGATGACTTTTGATGTAGGTTGAAGGTCACAATGGTGCTGGCTTTCCCAAGTTCATAAAAAGCATCTAGAGCAGTTATTGCTGCAGCCAGAGCCTCCAGCACTTTGTCAGAGAGAACTACTGTAGCCAAACTAATATTACCCGCCCTCTGCAGATTGGTGAATGCCTCTACTGTGTGTGCTTTTGAAAGGCCTTTCTTAGCCTTTCTCTCTCTGCCCCAACCTTGTTTTCAAGAGGCGTAGGGTCTTTAAGTGGTAAATCCAGTAATCACAGTAGCATGGAGACACAGGCCAGCCTATATTTGGTTTCACAAAGGCCTTGTGAAAGATCCGGCCTTAAAGTCTCTTTTAATACTGAAATGATGCAAGTGGAAAGTTAATTTGAGGATCACTGAGGCACGCTTTATACATGAAGAATGTGAGCAAAACATAAAAAGTCTGCAGGCTCTGTTCTTCTCTGGTGGCAAGGAAATTACATAGGCTGTGTCATTATTTGGGTGAATGTTACCCCCTATGGAGTGTAATTGTGCTGGAATTTTGGAGTGAGAGCTGTCGGTTAAGTACAGACTAGTTGGAGTGTGTGTGTGTTTTGCCTGAAATCCTTATACAAACCATAGACCTTATTTTGGTGACACTGAGGATTTGCAAATGGTGGTTATCTTGGCCTTGGCATTTTGAATTAGTCTTTTTTTTTTTAAGAGAAACTTTGAAGGTCTGTTTTAATGTATATGAAGTCTTTGAAAGTCTGCATAGTCTGTTTGAACTGTTAAATGCCAGTGAGTTTCTGTATATCACTAGTTTCAGTGTATAGTAGTTGAGAGGTGAGTACAAGTCTAGTGCAAAGTATGTTTCTGATGCTTGAAAATGGTGCCCTGATTTCTATTGAAGGAGACATGTATTCCTACAGAGGTTTAAGCGACTTGCTATAAAAAGTTGAGTCTTGCAGTGGTAGAGGGAGATTACGCATTATCTGTGAACAACTGCCAAGCAGATGAAATCGCAGCTGCACAGTCTGTGGTGGAGACTGGGTGGGAGTGGCTGGGGGAGCAGAGGAGGAGAGTGATCAGAACCTGGCTGTGGTGGTGTGGTGCAGAAGGCTCAGGGCCATGCTAGGCAGTGTTGGGTTTTCGGACATTGTGTCTCTCAGAAACGCAGCATGGTGGAAAGCACATGGGCCATGGAGTCACGTAAGCCAGCATCAAATCCTGGCTTCACCAGTGACCTCCCTGGACCCCATTTTGTTGATCTGTTAAAAACTTGGAAAAATGAATAGCCCTTGGGGTGGCTGTAAAACTTAAATTAGTATGTCGTATTGATTGGGTCACAAACTCATCCTAGTCTGCCAGAGACTTTCCCAGTTTCAACACTGGCTATTCTTTATGGGCATTCTCCCCAAGTCCCAGGCAGGCTGGACGGTGGGTCACCATACTTACCTAGGAAAATACCTGTTACCGTGTACAGAAGACAAGGTCTGTGTATGTTTGCTCATCCCGGTATGCCTTCCTAGTGTTTGACATGTAAATAATGAACGAGTGAAGTAACGAAGGCAGTAATGCATACATAGTTATTTTAAAGTGAGTTAGCTAGTCTTCCTCCCTGTGGACTCTCCTCTCCCTGAGAAATGAGGTGGCCTCGCCAGCCACATAATAAATAATGTGTTGAATGAATGAGTGAATCATATGATAATGGTTTTGGCTCTGTGATGTAGCTAAGCTATAACTTCAGGAAGGTCTCATCTGGGTCTGTTTACTCTTTTGATAAAATGAAATTTCGATAGGACCCTAGGGACCTTCCTCATACAGTCCCTATAGTCTGCAGGGTGCTGGGGGATTTAACTTTGCCGAGGAGAGAACGAAGCCCATGGTACTGAAGTACTTAGGTAGCAACAGTTCCCCAGAAGTTAATTAGACATCAGGTTGTCCCATTGTTGTTGTTATTGTTTCCTTTTTCTCTTTGAGTGAGATGGGGCAAGAGTAGTTGGACCAGAGGGGGTTAGGGTCACACTGATGTAATCTAGTTTCATAGCCAGAGAGGTGAAAAGTACCCTGCGAAATTGAAATCCATTGTTCTGGGTGTGGTAGCCATTCATTCAGATTTTTATACTGTGTGACTGTAATATGAAGGTAGCTTTTCTAACTGCAAATATGTCTTTGCTCACAGTGATACAGCATGAGTAATGTTTTTCTGGAAGCCAGGCAGTTAATAATACTCGGAGCAAATAGAGGCAGAGCCTCAGAAATGGAGATACCAGATTAATGTGCAAGCTTGGCTTTTTAAACTGAAGAGATAGCCACAAGAAAACTAGTTGTGGCCGAAGAACTGCTTCTCAGCCCACAGTGACTTTCAGTCCCCTACCCCCTCCTTAAAAAAAAAAATCATTGGTTTTCCTCTGCAAATATATATGATTTCAATTTTGAGACAGGTGGTTATTTTTTCATTTGAAACACAAGGAAGCAATTTTTAAAAGTCCCAGCCATTCAGCAGTGGGGCTGACTATAGTCAAGCTTGACTAGGAGTTCTTGGCCACAGAACCACATATTGCAGCCTTTATTAGGGTAGTTTACTAGTTGGCTTTTTGGGAAAGGAAGGGCCTGGAATTAAGGGAGGGCCACTAGAGCACTGGCCGGCTTCGGGACTCTTGGCCTACCTGTGTGCCCAGTCAGATGGGAGGGTGGGTCCAGGTATCATCTCAGCCAGTGTTGTCATCCAGTGATTCTGAAGTGACCTTTCTTACCTCATTGTCCTTATGAGCTCATAGTCGTCTGCAAACGTAAGTTATGCTATGGATCCTTGTTCACTTTTTCTTTGATAAGGAGCAGTGCTTCTGCTCATCAGTGGTTTTTGGGAGAGGAAACTGAGGCGCATGTCACTCAGTGATTTAGCAGTTGGCTTTGGGATCTCCTCTCTTTATTTCCCCTTCTCTAGTGGGAATTTACAATGTAAGTCATTTGCTAAGGTCCCCCGCATTAAAAACCAACAAAACTATTGCAGTGGGAGACATGATTGTTAGAATAATAATTGGTGTTACTCAACTCCTGTTTAATATTCTGCCTTCTAGAGGGTGTCTCTGTAGCTTGTTGCTAGGCACTAGGGTACAACTTCCCTCTTGAGGCTCACAAACAAGTCAAGAGACAGGAAAACACATAGGGTGTTTGTAATAGGATTTGAATGGGTAAATATAAGGATGGGGTGGGTGCTTTATACCCCTGCAAAATGGAGAACACTTGCCCTCCTTACTCATCCAGGAGTTGCTTTGAGAATCAGTTACAATATTGTGTGTGAGCACCCTATGAAAAATAAAAATTCATAATCAAATCCAAGAAATTTTTGTGTGGGGAAACAAATGGCGAGACTCTGTTCTCAGTTTCACTGAACTAGTCTGATGAAGGAAACAGACCTCTTCGATAACAGTTGCCTGTATTTACGGACTACTTAAATACCTGACTCTGTGCCATTTATTACATGCATTACCTCATTGCACGCTCAGAGGAATGCTAGAGATAGGCATAGATGTTATCTCTGTTTACAGATGAGGAAACCAAGGCTTGAAGAGATGAAGAAACTTGCTCAGTGTCACGGGGCCAGTAGACGGCGGCGGGCCCATGATCACGCCCAGCTGTGTGCTCTCAGAGCCCGACTCCACGCTGTCTCTATGGAGATAGTTATCTTCCTGGGAGGCTCTAGGCGTGCCTAGGTGTGGAGAGAGCGGTTGGACCTCGACTAGCAGCAGCCCACACAGTTTCTTGAGTGTGCTTTGAAGCAGCTTCCTCAGCCCTTGCTCCTCAGAAAGCATCGTCTCCCGTGGGTGTGGGATTTATGATGTGGTTTCCTTCCTCCTGCCTCTGGCCCTTCTCCCCCAGGGTCGGAAAGCCTACGGATGGCCGATAATGTGCTGTGCTGAAGTCACTTGTGCCCGCCCTGTGTTCAGGATGGGTCATGCTTGTGTCACCATGTGGTAAGCCTGTGGTGCTGTGAGGGCCTGACCAGTGCAGGCTGGCTTGGAATCAGAGGTCACAGCCCTGCCACCACATTGCTCATGAGTCCACTGATGCCTGTGATGTAAGAGTTCAGCCACATGCTTCTTTCTCCTGCACTGAATGTCACTTAAAAAAAAAAAAAAAAAAAAAAAGGCTTTTGTGGTTGAAATTTCCAGCACGAGTCAGGTATGAACCAGGTGCTTTGATATATCCTGTATACTATTCTTTCAGTTGCCTCTTCAGGTAGGTGGTGTCCTATCTGCCCTGAGAATTGAGGAACCTGAAGATTACAAAGGTGAAATGAGATGGCACGATCACTTAGCCAACAAGTGACAAATGGGTGATTTTGCAAAATTTTGCAGCAAGAGGGGGCTGTTTTCAACATTTCTTTGAACTTAAATTGTGTATTTTTTTCTATATAGGTAGAGGCAGATAGCAAGGCATAGGGTACATGTCTGTCAGCACATGGGTAGATTTTACTGATTTTAATTTTGTTTACATTTTGTTGAAAACACATGTATTATTTTTATTAGGGATTCAGCCAAATTCATAGGTGTTTTAAAGTGTCACACTTAACCTAGCAACAAATTGAATACACAGATTAAAAATGAAAGGCTCATCAGTCAGGTTTCTCAAGTATCAATTTCCGATCAAACTGCTTGCTACTGATGAGTAAATCCTTCCATTAAAAACAGTGTAGTCTGCTAAACTGCTTATCATAGATATTGCAAGGGGCATAATATTGCCGGAGGGGCAATGCATCTGTGTATCTTGAAGGTCAGAGCTGACATTCATTTGGTTTCATTGGATACAGCGTTTGGTAAATGCATTTAGGATATTTGGAGGATGTTGAGCCATGTGATAGCCCAAATTGAGGTGATATTAAGCCTTGGTCTATCAGGATCTCTTTGAAGATAC